CCCTTCAGCCTCCAGAAGCACTCTACAAGCCTCCCAAAGCCTATGCATGCCCTTTTTTTGTGTGTGTGCAAAAAATGGGCCCATTTTCGTGAAAAATGGGCAATTTTTTGCTCTTTTTTTGCCCCCCCCGCCCCCGGAGCACTTTGCAGGCCTTTTAAACTCTCTGCATGTCCCATTTTTCACAAAAAACGAGGCATGCAGAGAGTTTGGAGAGTCTGCAGAGTGCAAACACAGTTTTTTTAAAAAATTGCCTCTTCAAAATCTTGCTGTGTCTTACAGTCTGAAAAATACGGTATGTTTTCTTGACTTTGTCAACTGGGCGCAAAGATAACAGAGTAAAGACAAGGGAGAGGAAGTGAAGAGCATTTACTGGCAAAATACAGGAACGTTACAGTCAAAATCAGAAGGAAAGAAGACGGTCATTGCCAATCTAAGAGTTGCGAATCAAGGCAGATGTCAGTACAGAACGAAGTTCACACTTCCTGGCTTGAGCAAAATGGTCTATCAAATGCTTCCATGAATCTGAAGAGAGACGCTTCTACAGACGGACCAGGGATGGGATTAGAGTTGTATATGATTAATTCAGTTAAAATAAACTCTTGTTTTTCCTAGAGCTATTTTCCCCCTCCCTCTGATGAGTTTCCTCAATGGACCAACTTGGAATTGGATGTATCAATTAGCTTCAAGGACAAATGGGAGTTCAAACAACTGGAAAAGCTCAAAACCCTTCAGCTTCTTCTCCTCGGAGGGAGTTTTCTCCACTTAGCTCAACTGACAATTTTGCCTTGATCTTTTGACCAAAAAATAATAAGTATTATTTTTCATCTGTCCCGGACAGTTGGCTTCTTGAGGGCTCAACTGCAATCTGTAAAGTAGAGACAAATTCAGGCTCATCCTAAGTCATCCTAAACTGCTCTTTGATACAAAATTTTGTTTCTAGACTGTTTCTAGAAGGAACTTCCATGTTGTGTGTGTGTGTGTGTGTGTGTNTCTTTGTTGCTCTTCTCTGCACTCTTTCTAGAGTCTCCACATCATTTATACATCGTGGTGACCAAAACTGGATGCCATATTCCAAGTGTGGCCTTACCAAGGCATTATAAAGTGGTATTAGCACTTCACGTGACCTTAATTGTATCCCTCTGTTTATTCATCCTGGAACTGTGTTGGCTTTTTTGGCAGCTGCTGCACACGGCTGGCTCACATTTAAACTTTGGAGTATTGCAACCGTCACAAATACTTGTTGGTTGCTGAATGCCTGAATTCGGATCTTGTGACCACAGAGATGGAGCGATGGTTTTAAGTGGGAGGACTGGATGTAAGTCCCTTTTTTTTAGTCCTGTTGTAACTGTGAACAGCCGCTAATGGATTGGTTGCAAGGACTTTCCGTATTGTAGAGCAGCCAATGATAAGGGCCATGTTTCTCATTTCTATTCACATTGGAGTCAAAAGGGCATCTTATACAAATATAAATTGGTATAAATATAAAAATTCAGCCCAATCCTGAATGCCCGGAGCAAAATAAAAGCCATGGGACTAAGGAGTAAATTGCAAAATTTAAGTATTTAAATAAATTCAGGCCCATGCTATTAATTCTGGGAAATAGGTAGTTAGTGGTGTCTGAAGATATTATACTGCAAAAGCAGTTTATTCTCAGTATTCATGAGCACTTTTAATCAGAGAGAATTATATAAATCATCCCAAAGTTCATTCACAATCCCAGATGCTTTTAGTATGCGGAACACACGTTTATTTTGAATAGACAGGTAGTCCTCGACTTACGACCACAATTGAGCCCAACCTTTCTGTTGTTAAGCGAGACATTTTTTTTCAAGGAGGGTCGCCCCATTTTACAACCTTTCTTGTCACGGTTGTTAAGTGGCTCGCTGCCATCGTTAGAGTAGTAACACGATTGTTAAGTGAATCTGGCTACCCCCATGGACTTCGCTTGTCAGAAGGTCGCAACGGGGGAACGCGTGACCCTGGGATGCTGCAGCCGTCATAAATATGAACTGGTTGCCAAGCCTCTGCACAAGTCGTAACTGTGAACAACGGCCATCAGTCACCTTCATCAGTGCCGTTGTAACTTTGAACGGTCACTAAGCAAATCATTGTAAGTTGAGGACTACTGTGCTATACAGATGAAGCATCAGCTACAGAAATCATAAGATTTATAGTGGAACACACTGTCTTCAGATTATTCGCAATCCTAGTTTACCCTCCCCAGCCTCTGATTTAAATAAGAAGGTTCAACCTTGCCCAATTTAAGTAATTAATGAATCCAATTTAGAAACCACCCACCTGCCTTAAGAGGGACTCGGTGGGTGTACAAATAAAACAGTCAAACATAAAAACAACTACCGTATTTTTCGGACTATAAGATGCACCGGTGTATAAGGCGCATCAAGATTTCGAAGAGGTAAGTAAGAAAAAAATGTTTTGGCCTCTCTGGCCCCCAGAAGCACTTCGCAGGCTTCAGTAGGGCTGGGGGAAGGCAAAAACGGGGGCATTTCCCCCTTCCCCCAGCCCTGGGGAAGCCTGCAGAGTCCTTCTGGGGGCTGAAGGGGGGGAAACGCCTCCATTTTTGCAAAAAATGGCTTCGAGAGACCAAAAATGGCTGTATTCATTGTATAAGATGCACCAACATTTCCACGCTCTTTGAGGGGGGGGGGGAGATGCGTCTTATAGTCCGAAAAATACGGTATATAAATTTTAAACAAGAGACACTTATAAGCCAACATTCAAAACCAGGTGTAACTATGCGCAGAAGAAATGGGTTTTGGTTTAAATAAATGCAAAACTGCAGTGGTGGGAAATGAGCGGAAACCTTTTCAAGCTTTCCTTCATGCAGGGAAACTATTAAAACAATCTTTGCTTCTAATTTGCAAAAAAAAAAAAAAAAAAAGTGCACGGGATTTCAGCCACAGCCGCGACTTACCTCGTCCTCCGTGTCTCCCCCATGCATGGTTCCAACAAGCCGCTTGCTTGGCCGCCCTGAAACACACAATTATTTGTCAGGAAGTGTAACGAAAATATTAAGCCAAGCTCCGGTAGAACCATTGATAAATAAATNTGCCAGCAGTTCAATCCTGACCAGCTCAAGGTTTATTCAGCCGAGGTGGGTAAAATGAGGACCCAGATTGTTGGGGGCAAGAGGCTGACTCTGTAAACTGCTTAGAGAGGGCTGGGAAGCACTGTGAAGCAGTATATAAGTCTAAGTGCTCTTGCTATTAGATCAAAGTGTCTCAATCTTGGTGAGCTCAACTCCCAGAAGTCCACCCATCTTCAGCTCACCAAGATTGAGACACTTTGATTTAATAGCAATAGCATTCGATCAATAGATCTAATAGCAATAGAATTCTGGGAGTTGAAGTCCACTCATCTTGCAAGTTTGCCAAGGTTGAAACACACTGCATTAGATCCAAACCCACCACCACCACTACTTCCCTTGCTGGTGGTCTCCAGACACAAGGTGAAGTTGGGGAGAAGCTGCTGTGGCTGGCCTCCATCCCTAGCAGACGGCATGCCAGCTCTCGCGTCTTACCTTCATCCCTGTCCTCCCATCACCAAGGGCTTCTGATGGTGAGCCAGGACCCCAGGAGCAGAGAAGAGAGGCAAGGGGTATTGTGGGCAAGGGAGGAGGAGGAGGAGGCACAGGGTATTTGGCGGGTCGGAGAGACAACGCACCTTCGCCTTGGCTCGGGAAGCTTTGCGCATTTTGGTTCGGGCTTGGGCTGCCCCGATCTTTGGGAGCAGCAGAATGCGAGGCCACGCAAGATGGAGGTAGGAAGAAATTAAGAGGAACGACACCAGAGAGGGTTAAAAAAAAGTGTGAGTGCAAAAGGCAGCAAATAGAAAAGAGAATTCACATCCGAACAAGGCGGGAGGAGACAGCTTTAGTAGAGTGATTGGCTCAAGTAGGACGGGACCAAGCTTTAAGGCACGGGTGTCAAACTCGATTTTATTGAGGGCCGCATCAGGGTTCTGTTTGACCTCAGGGGGGGCCAGGGTGGGCGTGGCCAGCTTGACGTCACACATATCAGGCACCTGTAGTGGCCCAAGCGCACTGCCAATGAAAACAGAGCTCCGTTTTCGCTGGCGGAGAGTTGCAAGAGGCTGTAGTTGCCGAAAACAGAACTCGGGAGGGCCAGGTGCGGTTCTCCCAAGCTCCATTTTTAAAAATGTTTTTATTATACATTTTCCCTTATACGACAGCACATTTTCAATTTTATGACAGTCCATCTCTTTTCGTCTCTTTCCTTCTCCCCTCCACTTCCCTCCTTCTCTCCTCTCCTCCCTCCTCTTCCTCTCCCCTCCCTACTTCCCTCCTTCTCTCCCCTCCTTTTTCCTCTCCTTCTCTCCCCTCTTCTCCACTCCCCTCTCCTTCCCTTTCTCCTACTCCTCCCCTCTCTCCTTTCCCCTCTCTGCATCCCTCGTCTCCTTCCTTCTCCTCTCCTCCCCTTCCCTCCACTCTCTCCTTCTCCTCTCCCCTCCCTACTTCCCTCCCTTTTCTTCTCCTCTCCCCTCTCCTCCACTTCCCTCTCCTTCTCTTCCTCCTACTCCTCCACTCCCCTCTCTGCTTCCCTCTTCTGTCTCCTTCCTTCTCCTCTTCTCCCCTCTCTCCTTCTCCTCTCCCCTCCCTACTTCCTTCCCCTCCCTTTTCCTCTCCTTCTCTCCCCTCTTCTCCACTTCCCTCTCCTTCCCTTTCTCCCACTCCTCCACTCCCCTCTCTGCTTCCCTCTTCTGTCTCCTTCCTTCTCCTCTCCTCTCCTCCACTCTCCTCTCCCCTCTCTACTTCTCTCCCCTCCCTTTTCCTCTCCTCTTCACTTTCCTCTCCTTCCCTTTTTCCCACTCCTCCATTCCCCTCTCTGCTTCCCTCTTCTGTCTCCTTCCTTCTCCTCTCCTCCCCTCTCCCCTCTCTACTTCTCTCCCCTCCCTTTTCCTCTCCTCTTCTCCACTTCCCTCTCCTTCCCTTTCTCCTACTCCTCCACTCCCCTCTCTCCTTTCCCCTCTCTGCTTCCCTCTTCTGTCTTCTTCCTTCTCCTCTCCTCCCCTCCACTCTCCTCTCCCCTCTCTACTTCCATCCCTTCCCTTTTCCTCTCCTCCACTTCCCTCTCCTTCCCTTTCTTCCACTCCTCCACTCCCCTCTCTGATTCCCTCTTCTGTCTCCTTCCTTCTCCTCTCCTCCCCTCCACTCTCCTCTCCTCCTCTCCCCTCTCTACTTCTCTCCCCTCCTTTTTCCTGTCCTCTTCTCCACTTCCCTCTCCTTCCCTTTCTCCTACTCCTCCACTCCCCTCTCTCCTTTCCTCTTTCTGCTTCCCTCTTCTGTCTTCTTTCTTCTCCTCCCCTCCACTCTCCTCTCCCCTCTCTACTTCCATCCCTTCCCTTTTCCTCTCCTCCACTTCCATCTCCTTCCCTTTCTTCCACTCCTCCACTTCCCTCTCTGCTTCCCTCTTCTGTCTCCTTCCTTCTCCTCTCCTCCCCTCCACTCTCCTCTCCTCCACTCCCCTCTCTCCTTTCCTCTTTCTGCTTCCCTCTTCTGTCTCCTTCCTTCTCCTCTTCCCTAGGCCTTTCTCCCCTCCTCCACTCCACTTCCCACTCTCCTTTCATCTCTCCCACCTCCATTTTTGCTGGCAGAGGCACCTCGGCTGATCATTTGCTGTTCCCAGGGAGGTCCCACGGGCCAGATCTTAGCATCCCAG